TGAGAGTGAATGAATAGTGGAATTGTAAAAGCGCTTTGAGGGTCTCGAAAAGTGCTATATAAATGCAATCCATTATTATTATTATTAAGGTATGATGGATCCATCGTCCACTGGGAACTGGGAGAAACCCCAAAGTAAAGGGATACCCACCCCAGCTCACCAACTCTCACCAGGGGCAATTCCAAACTGAGACAGAGTCCAGCCCCTCTCCAGGAGACTGGTTCCAGAGCCCAAGCCATGCGTAGAGGTGAGCCCGACTATGTCAAACCGGTACCACTCAACCTCACGCACTAACTCAGGCTCCTTCCCCACCAGAGAGGTGACATTCCATGTCCCAATTGCCAGTCTTGGTAGCCGGGGATTGTCTGTCCGGTACTCTGCTCCTGCAGATGCCTGGCTCACAATGCACCCGACCAAAATATCTTATAAGATAAACCGACACATCCATCTATGCATATACATGTCCATGACATAATATATTATAACTCAAATTGTGAGTTATATAGATATATAACTCAAAACTAAAGACAGCAATAATGTCATACTACAAGCAGAGCCATTCACCGGCTCTAACCATCATTAAATGAACTTTGGCGCCATTGTGTGCCTGAATAAAATTACTACACTATGGCGGCAGCCAGTGGCACATGCCTTAAATTACCACGTGAAAACGTACTTTCTGTCATTAACTTAACACTAGGAGCATCACCATAAATACTGCAAACAGGAATGCAGGTGATAACAAACTGACCTGGAATTACTGGAATAGCAGCACAGCACATCAAAATTATGCCTACATCACTTCAAACAATATTTCAGGAACAGAAAATCTCAGAGCCTTTTGTTCAACACATAAAATAAAGCTATGATAATTGGCCTACAAATCATGACATGCACTCAACCCCTCCCACTCCCAGTCTAACAGGTTTGCTGAATGTGTTGTATAAATGGGAGGAGCCAGAAGATACCTGAGATCTTGACCTAAATGAAACAGCCCTACTGTACGTCGACGCTGTAAGTTCATTTCCTTAAAATCCTCTTTTGTTTTAAGGGGAAGGGTTTGTTTTTTTTTAGCCTTTATTGAGAAAAGTAAAAAAAAAAAAAGACAGAAAAAACAGGGCGAGAGAGAGCAGGAGGCAGACACGCAGTAAAAAGGCCTTGGGAAGGATTTGATTCCTAGCCTCCACCTTACCACATGTGGGTCACATGCTCAGTCAGGTCGGCTGTACCGGTGCCCCTAACAAGGGTTTCTTATATATATAACAGTACTGTAAAATAATCTCTGCTTGTTTAAGAAAAGCACTGATCACACAGCGAGTGTTGGGTTGTAATTTGATCCCATTTGCAATGCTTGGGTTGGGTTATGTTTGTTCACTTTGTTCAACAAGGAAGTTCAAAGTTTCATAGTGGCATAGCAACTAGATATTACCTATCGGTATCGGTCCGATACTGACGTAAATTACTGGATCGGATATTGGAGAGAAATAAAAAATGTAATCTGATCCATTAAATATCAAAAACAAAAAGCACCTCACAAAACTTGCAACATGGCGTAACTCGGCTCATAACCGCAGCACGTGGGAGCAGTGTGCTCACTGATAGAGCGGCTGTGTGTATTTGTAGTCTCCCTACCAAACCAGCATTTCATCTCCGATGAAGTGATCCCATTGAGAAGTAAAGCAAGTGTGTAAGTTCATCTCTGAATGTTTGTAAAGCATTCCCACGTTAAGCTTAACAACCAATATATGGAGCGACTGCCTCTTCT